TTATCAGCGTACACTCGGCGGCGATGATGCTTTTCTGGGCCAACGGAGTACCGGAAGGGTAGAGGTCAGGTAGATACCAAATCCAGGGTGTAGTTCTCGTCATGCCGTTATGAACTTGCAAACTCACAAGGAACCACAGTGGGGTATCATTCCATTATCAATTTTCAAATGCAACTATCGACTATTTCCGCGCCCATTGCTAACGAAGCAAGCAGCAAAGGCACGCGGGCTTCGCTCTTTCTTTCCTAGGTCTGCCGGGAATCTCTTCAGAGACGCCAACCCAGCCCGCCGCTGCCGATCCCTCACCGCGCCCACCCAACCTGAGCCCATCCGCCCACCCATCCCATCTTGCAGTCCAATTTGATCCTCCTTAGTCTTTAGAACCTAGTTAAACCTCCCACCCGTCCGATCATAGCCCGTATCCCCCTCACCACCCCCGCCCAAGCCGAGTCGAGATATGAGCCATGACCGTTGCGATCCCAGCCCACCGACCCCCCTCGGACGCGAATACTAGTATTACAACAAATCTGCCCTATGCCCAGAGCCGAACCTCCTTTTACCGTACCCGAATGACCCATGATGGAAAAAAAAAGGCCCGAGCTGATCCCAGCCGAGCAACCCAACCCCGGAAAGGGACAAACCTAAACGCCTTGCTGTTGTGCAGTGTAATGGGACGAGTCGTTTTTTTCTTTTTGTTTTCTCAAAATGTTGTGCCATTTTGATGCCCGTTGTCGGGAATGACACCTTTGAATCAAGAGACTTGTCGATGAGTTGCGACAAGTTTTGCCTCTGTGCCCACAGACGAAAAGTCGCGGGCTTCTTGGCTGAAACCCTCAAAGACCACACTATCACTAGTGCGAGGTCGGCGGCAGCGACGACTGTGGTCTGAATTTGAGCTTGATGATTTTCTTTTTCGGCTCACCGGTCTCCCCGCCGGCCGCGGGAGTGCTCGGCGGTGGTGGTGAGTGATGCTGCGGGGCGGCCGAAGGGAGTGGCTTCCGCTTTTTGACCCCTGATTGGCCTCCGTTAAGCCCTGGTGACGACCGTGGATCCGTTGCGGGGGAGCGCGGCCGGGCCGCCGCGTAAGCGGAAGGATCGGGGTAGCCGGGTAGCGCGGAGCGCTTCGCATGCGCAGGTGTCGCGACGATCGTGGAGGATGCCGCATGGTTCGTCTTTCCGGCACGATTGCTATCCCTAATACGGGCTGGCAGCCTATCCCAGGCAGTGAAAGGTAGCCTGACAATCTTTCTAGGACGACCGTTCATGCCGCTCTCGACTCTCGCCACCTTCTTCGGGCGGTCGACGCCAACGCCGACGCCCTCGCCTTCGTCGCTCTTCCGCTTCTTCGGGACCGGCTTGGGACGCTTATCTGCCGTCTTGGATGCGCCGTTTAGATGATGAGGGTGTATCACAAAACCTGGTGAGGGCGGCGGTGCCGAAGGCGTGGACAGCCGAGCGAGGGGCTGGACCGAGATGGAGTCGGACGAGGGCAACGCGGCCGCGGCCGCTGTTACCGGTGGTCGAGGCAGTGTGACCGAGATGGAGTCCTTCCGCACATGGGGAGCTGGAGTAGGCGGGCCGTTGTTTGAAGGTCCGCTGAAGGACTTGTTAGTGTTGAGCTTGATCTTCTTAACCTCGGCAGGCTTGGGTTCCCATTGCGGCGGTGGGACTGGATCCATGATGAGCTTGTGCCGCGGTTGCGTTCGGTAGTGAGTGGTAAACTTGATGATGCACTGTTTTTTAGCGTTCGGCTTTTGAAGCGCCAACGGCCCCTCGGGAACAGGCTCCCTAGTGCACTTCCAGATCTTGGGATAGTTGAAAGTCATGAGCAAGCAATCTTCAGCCTCAAACATGGCCGAGCAGATGGTCAGCAGCTGGAACTTCTCCTTGGCACTGATCGACGGTGACTCCACGGCCGTCCACATGGCGGTCTGCAGCTCGATATTGCCTTTCAGTTCCTCTTGCAATGCCTTCACGGCTGCCTGGATGCTCTGGTTCCGAGTCGCGGCGAGCTGCCTTCGCTGGATCTCGGCCTCGCCCTGCTCGACAACCAACCCAAAGTCGTCAACGGGTACTTCGGGCTCGAGCTGAGCGGCCTTGCTCTCGCCCAGAGCGACAGCGGCCATGCCCTTTGCAGAATATATTGAAGAGACGGTCGCGGACAAAAGGCGACGGATCGGTGCTCGCGCTCGCGAGGAGCAGCTTCATGATGGGCACCTTGGCGAGCAACCCCAGCTCTACGAGGCACTCAAAGGCCTTGATCCTGATGAGATCGAGGTTGCCATCCTGCAGGTACCTGACAAACTCGAGCGGCTGGGTGCGGATGACGTTGGCTTTCATCAGGCGCATCTTGCAGTGTAGCGCGGTTGTCGTCCATACGTTTTGGTACGTCGACGTCCACTCGTCCATCCTGCGGTACTTGTCGATCTCCTCGATGGTCTTCTCGATGAACCGTTTGAGTTCCATGTCATCATCATCGTCGGCCCCCAGTCTTGAGTAGAGATCCCTCTCCCCCTCCACTTTGTCAGGGATGATGGAGGTGGTCAGAGCTTCGAGCAGCTTCGCGATGTAGAAATGGTCCGAGTACTCGTTGTCTGAGTTGTCGTTGAAGAGGAGCAGATCAAGGAGGAAATTCCGCGCCTGGCGCGAGCAGCGGCCGTTTTCCCTCGTGCGTGCGATGGCGCCTGGAAGAGCGCATTGCACCGAGTACTGGGCCTTGTCGTGGAAGTCGTTTGGCACAGGGGGGAACGTGACATTGCCGTTCTTGCCAACCATGCGATCGCAGAAGAAGTGGCGGAAGATCAAAATCAGCTGGGCCGTCCCAATGTAGTTAATCTCCGGGTCGGCTTGCTTGGGAAGGTCATCAATGGCCATGGTGCGAATACCGTGGAAGTACCGACGGTCCATGACTGTCCGTGTCTCAATGCTGGAGGCCACGCCGTGTCGTTTGCCGCGCTGGAAAAAGAGCATCGCGTCTTGATGTGCGACAACATCCCTATCTTGCTGCAACTGGGCGAGGTACATGTAGCCAGGCATGTCGGTCACCGTCTCGCACAACCACTCGAAGTTGCAATCGAGCCGGATCCACTCGTACGACTCCTGATCCATGGCGGTTTGCACATTGTCGGACCATTCCTGAAGTCCCCAGTTCTCAAGGTCGCGTTGAGTCATGAGCACATCGCCTAGCATGTTAAAATAGACGATGTCGTCCTCCTGGATATCTTGCTTGTCGACAGCGGTGCTCGCCGCCGCGGCCGTAGCCTTCTTCGTACGCTTCATTCGCTTGTACTTAGTATTGTAGGCGATCTGAAGCGTGGTCGCTACCTTGTCCTTGTCCGTGATTGCGAGGTAGTGCTCATAGGGCGTGCCGTCGGCTTCATGGATCCGGACAGTGAACGGGCCTGTAAAGAGCTTGGGCACCGGGCCAGCCCACACCTCGTGCACCTCTTCCGCCAGTTCCTTCAAGAACTCCTCCTTCGTAATGGCATTCGGCCCGTTCTCCTTGCTCTGTGTCTGAGCGATGGAGATATCAACATTCAGGTTCTTCTTATTGAAACGCTGTTTGATAAGGAGCTTTGGGCAACCGGCGCCGTGCACCCACTGCTGCCAAAGCTCGTCGGGCCGATACTGGCTCTTCTTCTCGCACGCTCGCCGGAAATCCGCGTCGGAGAGCGAGGTGCTGGTAATTGTGGCGTTGATGTTGGCATTCGAGACGATCTGCGAGATGACGCGGACGATGCCCATCGACCCGGGAATCTTGGACATGCGTTGGTCGAGAATGAAGAGGACCAAGGGCGCCTTGAGGGACATGAAGTCCAACTCGAAGTCGCCGATGTGCAGGTGCTCACCAAGGTCGTGGAGGGATGGCCGATGCACATCAACCTCGACCAGCTTGTCAGATAACGTCTTGAGGTGGAAGCGATACCAGTTGTTGCCGCAGATGCTCCTCATGAACAGGTCCGTCATGAACCACTGGATGCCGACGATCAGCCAGGCGTCTGACCGCTGGTTTGGGACGATGTGGACACCGAAGTACTGGCTCGCTAACGCGTGGACCAGCGTTCTTGTTACGTCGATCTCGGTGTCGATGACATCTTCGGGGTAAAGCAACCGATTACTGCATAGCGACATTGATGTTGCCGCCACGGTGTCTGAGACCATGTCGTCGACAAAGCAGACCTTGTAGCTCTCGAAGGGGTAGCGGCCAAACTCGGGAGCGAAGAAATCAGCGGCTGCTACGATCGGGACACACGTGTGGCGAACCTCGTGGGCCCGGTTTGGGAGGCAGTAGGCGTGAATTTTGGCGGCATTGGCGCCGAGCTTCTCGTCTGCTTCCTCTGTTCGGAATTCGGACCATAGTTGGATATGCTCAAATGGGCCAATGGCGAAGGCAATGTGCTGCGCCGCCGAGAGTTGGGATTCAAAGGTCATGATCTTCTTCTTGTCGTCCTCGGGGTCGATTTGCTCTCCCGCAAGGTTTCCTGAGCAGACAACCGTCATCTCCATGAGCTTGTCTTCCTCGGCCAATGCTGGGGAGGCCGGGGGCGTGATGGGGGCTTCTCCGAGCTTCCTCTTCCGGGTTGCATCTGGACTCGTAGCAGCTGCTTGCTGCGTAGCCAAAGGCTGCTCGAACACATCCGCCAGCGTTCTCGGGCATTTGATCGAGATCTTCCACGGGTGTCTTGACCCCGGATCGTCAACGCACGGAAAAATGCAAGATGCAGTCCCCGGCTCGAGCGAGTGGCGGGTATAGACATGAGGGTATCTCTGGTCGCCTTCGTCAAGACCGACGAAGTGCAGACCGTCGCGTATATTCTTTGAGCGGAAAGGAATGGAAATCTTAATTCCATTCTTCTCGTCATTCGGGTCGGCTCTGTCATGAGGGGTGTCTTTGTCGGCTTTCAGCGTCTTGATCTTAAGCGTCCGCCGAGGCTCGTCCTTCAGGATGCCGTCGGGCCGCAAGGAGACCTTGACCGCACGGTCGGCTGGGACGCAGCAGGGGAGCATCTCCCGGTCCTTGTTCGGTACCTCGGAGCGCCGGGCAGGCCTGAGTGGTGCCATCCGTCGTTTTACGAGGTGGTGCTGTGCTGCGCCAATCTGCCATTGAGGCGGGGTCCGGGCTAGATCGTACGGGTCGGAAAACGACGCGTTCGTCTTGAATCCATCCACGGTCACATTTTCCACGTCGATCTCAGACTGCCGCGCATCGAGCCAAATCTCGTCGAGGTCTGGGTTTATCGTGAATAGATGGATTGTTGATACGCCGCTGATGCTCTTCTCGCGGAAATCGACTTCGAGTTCGACGTCTTGTTTGATGACCACGAAGGGCTCGGCCCCGGGGGGCAGCTCAGGCGCAACGCCAGGCTCGTTCGCAATGTCGTTTTCCATTGCGGTGGGCATCGTGGAGATGGCGATTTCGCGTCGGGTTTGCTGGGGCGAAATCGTAAAAGGTTCGAAAAATGGCCGTTGTGTTGTCGGCAGAACGGAGAGGATCGGTCAGTTAGCCGGCCTTTCGAGGCTCGAAAAGTCGGCTCGGTTTTATGTGCACATGGCAGGAAGTTCGAGGAGCGCGTGATGCTGCAAGGCAGGGAATGGCCGTGCGATTTCGTTAGGTTTCGCTTCGCCGTTTCGCAGCCGGTCGCTGGTTGGGACACGAACTGGTGGAAAACCGGTGTGGTGGCGGGGAGGATGCGAGAACAATAGACCAAGGCGTGGGCGAAAATGAAAGGCAGCTACCAAAAAAGTACTAGTAGAGGGTGCGCATGGATGGCGACAAGAATACAGCACGAGCGCAGCAAAGAGGCTGTCGCCACACACCCACGGAACCTGGTCGCTTCCGCGCTCCGACAAGGAGAAATGCGGGCGTAGGTGGTTTGGGGAAAATAGTTGGGCCACCAGAACAATAGCTGGTTGGGCGACGAATAATTAGTGAATGGCGAGATGGGTGCAAACAGCACAGTGGACAAAAGCCCCAATCTGTACCTTCGCAAGACGCGATGGAATTCGAGAAGGGTGACGACGAACCTCCAAGACCGTGCACTGGCAATCTCTACCGAGGTTCTGCCGACGCGCGATGACAACGAGCCGCAGGTGGGGCCAGAGCTTCGAGCTTGCAGGCTCCCATGCCCATGAGGGGCAGACCCACCTGGTCCGTTCTCTCGATTTGTCTCAGAACATCGATCTCGTGAAACTCGATAACCGATTCTCCAGACAAGGTTTGGGTGTTGTTCGAGTCAATGCACAAAAACTTGATATACGAGCAGATGCCATTAAGTCAGAGGAGAATAGGTTGATTCCTAGATGCTGATGACAGTCGTCTAATGGATGACTAAATTACATACACTCGCTCCCCTTCGCCAGCTGCCGAGGTGTTGTATCTCTTCGAGTCACCCTCCTGCCGATTCATTGTCATATCCTCCGTTTTATCCCTTCTTGTCTGCATCAAGGAACCTCCGGATGGAAAATGGCAAAACACGGTGAGGCGGACAATTTATTTATTTAGAGAATATACCAAGCTATTTTCTCCACCGCTTTAGCAAACCTGGTATATCCCGAGACAAGTTCACCCTCCCCCCCTCGCTGCTATTGAATCCCCCTAGGCGAGCCGCCCCTGCTGGGCGGTTGCTCGGCCCATACCGCATCCCGGCAACTCAGGCACAGCAGCGCCCTGCATCCGATGCACTGCAGTAGGAAGGCACTCGCCACTCTGCCGCAGTCGTCGCATCTTGCCTCGTCTCGCTCCTCTACGCTGAGCTCTCGACGAAACCTCAGGGTGTAAAGTAGGCCAGGCGGGTGGCGACAGATGACGCCCTCGGCCGTCTCGTGAGCAGCCTGTTTAATCAAAATCGTCAGTTTTCGTGGTGTAGCATCAGCCATGAAGGGATTCCCTACCGCGCCGGGCGGGTGCCTCTCCTCCTCGTCCAGGCGAGTCTGGATCTCGGCGGGGACTAGCAAGACGTGTTCATCATGGGCGCCGAAATAAGGGTGGTAAGGAGCCTCAACACCACCCACGGGCCAGTGCTCCCCGCAGATGATACGGAAATCATGTCCGCACAAGCACCTACCACAACCACAACAGCGTCAGCAACCACCACCCCAATCCACCAAACAAAACCACCCAGAGAAAACATCCACTCACGCAAGATGGTTACACTCCCCCTCCCGTATCACCAACCGCTGGCAGCGCGGACAAGACTGAAACATACGCTCGCCCCTAGCCAGGCGCGCGGCGCGGATGACGGTGCGGTCGACAAACACGCTGCGGACCTCGCTGAGGGCCCGGACCTGGCGCACGGCCCGCTGCTAGGAGGCGCGTGCGGCCGGGCCGAGCAGGCGAAGCGCGGCGTGTTGCTGGGCGGCGCGGTGGTCGTCGGGGTTGATGTTGTTGCCGCTGTTGGTGTCGTTGTCGTTGTCGTTGTCGTCGTCGATGTCGACGTCGGTGGGCAGTACCGGGTTGCCGCAGCAGCGTGGCGGCATGCAGGATGGGTCGGTGACGTTGCGGATGGCGGTTTGGGTCGCGCGGGCGATGCAGTCGCGGCACCAGGGGTCTGTGGATGTGTTGTTAGTGGTTCGTTGTTGTAGAGGGGTGGCGTGGCGGCGCGAGGGGGATAGAGCGACAGCGGGAGCGGGAATGCTACATTGGAGGGCGTAGTGGCCTGGCCCTGGTCCGCTTCAGGTATCCCAACGTAAAGAAGACACTGCTTAGTTCAGTCCAAGAAGGATTGGCTGGCTCGTGCATTAATCCTTCGGCAACATTTGGTCTGCTGCTCGTCACATGGCCGAGCACCCCCGAATGATACACCAGGTCCAACACCCACCCAAACCCAAACTCACTATAGTCGGCAAGCACAAGGGAAAGGAAGGTGAGGAGGTATACATACGGTTATTGTAGCAGGCGGTCTCGATGCCCTCGACGAACTCCTCAAAGCAGATGGTGCACTGTAGAAGTCAGGGTGAGCCGAGAGGTTTAAGATTGGCAAGCTGTCATTACCTGAAATCTTCTATCACTCGTTTTGACAGTGTAGCAATGATAAGTCAATAGGAGGGTATGTCTATGGGGGATGAGGAGAAGACGTTGAAGCGGACGTGGGTTCTTCAAAGGGGAGGTCTGTGTGAGGAAGAAATTGGTTGAAGTTATTTTGACCACACAAATGTGCTGAACACGGTGTTGTGGTCGGCGAGTTGGGAGAGAAGTCCTGTAAGACACGCCCGGGATTAAGATGTTGATGACAATAGTTAATATTTCGGATACAGCCAGGCTGTAGGCTGCATACCTCAGACACTGCCCAAGTGGTAAAAAATTGAATCTTGCGGGGTAAAAGTTAACAAACTCAAAAGAGGAACATGCCTCCTCTAAGTGATGGCGTGCCTGCCCTAGGTATTGAGGGGAACATATTTGGAACCCAGGTCACAAACATACTACTCTGTTTGCCCACACACTTGGTGAATCGGATTTGACTCCCCGGGCAAAGGAAAAGCAAAACAACTCAAAATCATGGACACAACTGACTGGTCAAACTTCCAGTCACCATATATCAAACGGCATAGGGTCACACGACTCCGAAGTGCCACGGAACATGCCGTGTTGCCAAGGACCATTTGGACGCAGGTACCCGATGCTCGTCATCGTCACACCCGTGGTTCTGTCGTCTCCATCATTGTCACATGATCTTACCATATCTTTCGCTCCGTCACAACACCATGGTAGGAAGCCCGAACGGCCTCAAACCATGACTGGTAACTGATGTATTTTGACCATTTACCCCGAGCCAGCAAGATATATACCCTTAGATATATAGCTATGAACCAACCCAGCCGTCTAAGGCAGTTCAAGCAAATGCCACCGTCAAACGCCAGAATCTTATGACCTTGCCTTAACCCACCCGCTATGATATGATAGCCCTGAGGGCCATGTCCCGATAAACCTAAGCCCCGAAGAGAGAGAGAAAGAGTAAGAAAAAAAGAGAACTAAGAAATAAGAAAAAGGAAAAGAAGGAAAGAAAATAGAAACCAAGAAACAATGACCCGTTAAAACTCCGTCCATGATGCAAGCCGATGCGTGATGTACAAACCACCGCCCATTCCTCACCCCTTCACTTCCGGCCCCTCTTCCTCGGAGGCAACCGAGAGCCGGCATCATCACGCACCTCACCCGGCAGCTGGAACTCGGCCGCTTCCATCTCCGGGAGGAGCTCACCCCACGCGAGCACCTTACGGCCCTTCCGGCGGTCCGTGCTCAGCGCCGCGTCGCGCTGGTAGCGTTTCCGAAAGAGCGAGACGTTCTCTCGCGGGTCCTTATCCGCCGGCGGGTGTGTTGATGAGAGTGCCGTCGCAGCGGTAGTCTTTGTAGGGCCAACCTTGCCCCCTGCAGCCTTTGTAGCGGTAGCCTTGCCCCGTTCAGCCGACGCCCGTTTCGCGGCTGCTGCTTTGCCGCCCGCCTTGGCCCGCCTCTTCTTGGCCGCGGCTGCAAGCGCCTCCTCCCGAAGCTGCTTCGCAATGTACGCGTCGACGTCGCTCTCGTCGGCATGCTCGGCCTCCTGCTCGCCGCTCTCGGCACCTTGCTGTTGTTGCTCGTGCCGGCGCACATCGACGGACTTCTCCCCCTCACTTTCTTCCGTCTCAACCCCCTCTTTACCGACGCTCTCCTCCCCACCGCTGAGAAACGCCTGCCGCCGGCCGAGCATCTCGGCGCGGCGCCTCTTCTCCTCGCGCGTGTAGCGGCGGAACTTGTCCAGGATGCCCTCGCAGCCGCGGATGAAGTGGTCGCGGGCGGGCTCGAAGGCGCGCTTCTTGGTCTCGGTGACCCCGCTGACGCCCAGCACGCGCAGCCAGTCGTGGCCCCGCAGGCCGTTCAGCAGCCGCGCCACCTGGTCCCGCTCGTGCTGCGCTCGCCCGATCTCGGTGTTGCGAACCGACCGCTCCGATCGCTCGGCTTTCTTGTGCGCCGGCGCGAAGAGCGAGTCCGGGAGAGGGTCCGACGTTGGTGTCGGGTTGAGGTAGCTGAAACTGACGCGGTGTGCATCGCAGAGGTCTGTGTAGAGCGAATCGCCGTAGCTGCGAGTTGGGTAGTCATGTTGATGTTGGGCGCGTGGTGGAACGGCGTGGGGTGATGTGGTGTTGGTGTTTAATTGTGATGTTGGGTCCGGGATGATGATTATGGGGGTATCGATGTTAACAATGTCTGCAGTGGGCGGGAAGTGGTTAGTTAGCAATTGATCAACACACTCGCCAATTGATTGGCAATTGGCACTGGGAATTGGTGGTGAATGATGGGAGATTGATTGCAAACATACGCGTCTCTTTCGGGTCGTTGCCGATGATTTCATCGTACTCCGGGAAGTACGAGGACAGCTCGCTCTTGTAGCGAACGACCTCCTGAGACCTCAGCTTTCGACCCTGCACGATCGTGTCGGCCTCGTTTGGCTTCAAATTTACGAGTTCGTGCATTAACCCTTTAACAACCTTCGATCGGCTTGTTGTGGGTGTTGGCCGCTGTCGTTGCTGTTGCTTGGTTGTGGCACGGGCGGGTTTGGGTCTCTTTGCTTTGGGGCGCGGGGCGCGGTGACTGGCTGGAACCTTGGTCGCGATAGCGGGTTTCGGGGACACAGGCGCTGAGTCTGCCTTGGAGGTAGCGGAAGTGCCGGTCTTGTCGATGGTGTTGGCCGTGTCGTTTGCAAAGATGGCAGACAGTGTCGCGATTCCCGGTGTCAACTTGGCCCTCTTGGCCACGAGGTTATCATTGTCACCTTCCGAAGGGTCACGGCGTCGTCTCGGACGGGTTGTATCGTGGTTATTCTGTCTGGAAGAAAACAAGTTACGGGTGCCGGCGATCTTCCTCGCTTGGGTCCTGGATACAGTGAGTGCCATGTTGCGGCTTCCATCATTGTACCAGGTAAAAGGAGTAGCGATAGCCATGAAAGGAATTGAAATTGGATTGCCAAATGAAGGTCAAGGTGGCTCGCTGTGTTGCCTCGTGGTTCTGCTTGGCAAGTTTTTCGCGGGACGAGGTTCTGGAGAGCGCGTTGCGCTACCAGTTTATGGGAGGATATGGCCTCCTAGACCATTTCTGGGAATCATTGAAATCACGTTTACGTCACGGGACTTAATTAAGTCATGGTTAGTTACTATTTTCCATGAGATGCTATTGTCAATTCTCATGCCTTGGGTCATTGCCACTGTCATGGCGCCCCTCTGAAGAACAACAACAGGTATACCAAGATTACATGAACCTGTCTAGATGCAAAATCTCTCGACCGAATTAAGCCCAAATCAAGTGAATTAGAGTGCATTCAGATCCTCGTTAGTACTACTTATTCAACTTGTCTAATTGTCCGTATATAGCTTATTCAGAGGCAATACATTTCTGAAAGTGACTTTCAGGCGGGCCCACTAAAAATCGGTTTTGGTGTTGCTAAACATTCCGCCGTAATTTTAACCCCAACCCACGCGCCAAACCACCGGTTCTCGTACTGTGTAAAGACCGGACAAGGCCAAGGTCAACGGGATGGTCCCAGCACTGACTGAAGAAATGAGGCTTGATGATGTAGTTGAAGGGCACGATATTCCAGCTCCGATAATCACATGCCCGATGCAAGCCGAGTCTGGCCTGGAGGAAGAGGAATTAACCCGAAGAAAGAAATTCATTCCTGAGAAGCTCTGGATTTTACAGTTTCGGGCGGGTTGTTCGTAATAATGTTCAAAATATGTTGTGCATTTTACACTGCTTGAAAATTGGTGGCCAATGCCCCTAGTAACTGGAGGTACGCAACCCAGAGGTTTGTGGTTCAGTGTGTGACCGATCGATAATATCGATACCTGCCATGCTGTTGAAAGGTCGTCCAGTCCCTTCCCCCATATCACCTCGCCCCACACCCACCACCCTATACCAAATGACAGCATCCTGACGTCCTCAGAATACTCCCATGGGATCAGCATTAGGCAAGTAGTTGTTTTGGATGTTTTAGTATTACACTAAACTAAGGGCCCAACGCTCAATGCGAGGCCAGATCCACGTATATATCCAATCCACATCCAATACATTCCTCCTCGCTTTAGTCTTGGGTGTATGTACATACCAAATAATAAACCAAAACCCAACACGCTCCCACCACCCGGCTAAACCACACAACCATAAAATATACACTACGTTTTTCCCCACCTCTCTCACAACAAAAGGCCGTATATACCGGACGGACAAGCCAACCCGCCTCGGGCGGCAACTCTAGAAGCAGAAAGGGCGGACACAAGCCCACGCCCACAAAAAATGCAGTAGCCTGCCATGCAAGGCCCCCAAGCCAGGGGGTATGCCAAAAAAAAATGTAGAAGGGAAGAAATGCCACAGGGTATTCCAACATGGATGATCCAATCCAAAAAAGGGGAGGCTTGGAACCAAAGAAGCCAAATCCAAAATCCCAAAACAACACCAACAACGCCACCCAATGCACGCACACCTCCCTCACACATCACACAACCACATCACCACCCAGATTACCTAACCTCTGTCGACAAACTTCTCCACCTCCCCTCAAAAACCCGCACCCTCTCCTCCTCCAAAACACGCTGCAGCCTCCTCGTCTCGCGCACCGCCTCCTCGCGCTGCTCCTGCAGCTGGAGGACCTCGATCTGCGCGGCGCTCATGCGGCCGACCACCTCCTGCATCTCGGCGTCGGCGGATGCGAGCGCGCCCTCGAGCTCCGACACCCGGCCCCGCAGCGTGGCCATCTGCGCCGTCATGTCCACGGGCTCGGTGGTCGAGCGCCGCAGGCCGCCGCCGGGGCGTTGGCTGCTGTTGGGGGTGTTGGCGTCGGCGTTGGCGTCGTCGACGCCGAGGAAGGGCGGAGTGGACTTGCGTGGGGCGGGGGAGGTGCGCAGGCTGAACATGGGGGAGAGGGGTGATTTGGGTGGGAACACGCGCTGGCCCTGGCCGCTGCCGCGGCGGGTGCCGCCGGTTGCGTCGCGCAGGCGGTTGAGCTGGGCGCTGTGGGCGTCTCGGAGGGCGGCGAGCTCCTCTTCGTGGCGGGTGACGCGCTCTTCGGCACCGGTCTGGGCGGCCACGACCTGCTCCTCGAGGGTGCGCAGGCGGGCTTGCATGCCCGAGATGCGGTCTGTGCTGACGCGCTGCTCGGCCTCTCCGCGCGCGATGGTGCCGGCCAGGCGGGTGCGCAGGCTAGCGTTTGCTTCGAGCTGGGCGCGGACTTGCTGAGCCAATTCTTCGACGCGGCGGGCAGACTCGTGGAGCTGCGCGGCGAGGTCGCTCTCGGTGTCGAGGTGTTCCTTCTCGAGGGTTTGGAGGGTTTCGATTTGCTCAAGGTAAGAGGCGGCATCGCTGCGGGCGCGGTCGCGGTCTGAGATGGCGGCCGAGACGGATTGCTCCAGCCGTTGAATAGCAAGCTGCGTCTTCTCGTCCGGCCCCGCGTTCTCCTCGAGAGCCTTGATACGTTCCAGGGCATCCATGTATGCGGCTTGCAGGTCCTCGTACGCTTGCTCCAGGGAGTGGGAGCTGACGGGCAAGTCGGATTGGCTGTGGCTGCTGCCTGGCCGGGCGAGAGCCTCGGGGATAAGAATGTCCTTCTCCTGGAGGAGGCTTCGGAGAGACGCAATCTCGCCCTCGGCCCTGTCCAGGTCCATCTTGAGCCCCGCAAGGCCTTTCTCAACCTGCCACTTCTGCTCGATGGCCTCCTCGGCCCGTCGGCGCAGTACGCTGATCTCCTCGCGGAGGTTGGAAACTTCCCGCTCGTAGCCAGCCCTTTTGGGCGATGCGGTGAGGAGGCGATCGCGTTCCATCTCGAGCTGTCGTATCCTCTTGGTGTGCTCGCGGTTCTGGAGCTCTTGTCTCTCGAGAAGTTTCTTGAGGGCGGCGTGCAACATGTCCCGCTGGTCCTCGACGTCTTTTAGCCTCTCGGCCAGGACGTCGCGGGGCTCAGTCACTTTTGTGCTGTTGGACCGGGCGATGGACAAGGTGCGGTTCTTCCTGAACGAGCCGCCGGTGACTGATACGGACCTAGACAGCCCCATCCCCATCGACATGCGGGTCCCGGTCTGCTTAAGCTCGGCGTTTTGGGACCTGAGCATGTGCAGCTCAGCATTCTGGGACCGGAGCATTTGGAGCTCGGCATTCTCCGATTTGAGGGAATCCAGTTCGGCAGTCTGCGCTCTGAGCGACTCCAGCTCGGCGGTCTGCGCTCTGAGCGAATCTAGCTCGGCGGTTTGCGCTCTAAGCGAATCCAGTTCGGCGTTTTGTAATTTGAGTCGTTGTAGCTCCTGCTGCATCTTGGACGTGTCGTAGGCGAGCTTTGCTTGATCGGCCGCCTCGGCCTCTAGCCCCTCGACGCGAGCGCGCAGCTGAGGGACAATCTCATCGCGTAGGTTGTCTCGCTCATTTGACGCCGTCTGAAGTTCGCCCTGTAAGGCGTTAAGGAGGCCCTCGAGGTTTTTCGTGGCCTCGCTCTGCTCGGACAACTTCCTGCTGAGGTCCTCGCACATGCTCTCGAGCTCCTTGACGCGCCCGCTAGCATCGCTGCTGTGGATGTGGGCAACATCTAGCTCTGACGCTCTTCTGGACAGTTCTTGGATTTGTTGGTCCAGCGACCGGCGCTTCGAGCGCTCATCTTGCAGCTTGTTGGTCAATTCCAAGCGGATCTGGGCCTTTTCTTGATCTGCCCTGCGCTGAATCTGTGAAATCTCCTCCTTGGCATGGTCATACTCGCTAAACTTGGCTGAACTGTAGCCAGAGTCGGAGTAGTAGTCACTGGTTCGTTTCCCGGGCGCTTGCGGATTGTTGATCTGCTCCTGTAGTCTGTCCACCAAATCTTCTAGGTCCATCTCGCGCCGAATGGACGAGGCCAATTCGACGCTGATACCTTTCAGCTCGTCCTCCATCTCTTCCAGCTGGTCAAGTGACGTTGTGCTATCGGCGGGTGTCTGAAGATACGCTTCGCAATACTGTAAGGGGTTACTCTGATCTGTAACATTGGTGGAGAAGGTCGCCCTCTTTGTGATGGAAGCCTCATAGGACTCGGTCACGGCGGTCGTCGGCTTAGGCGACGTGGGCGAAGGGAGGGGGGAGAAGTTCTTGTCCGAGTACTCGGTCGCGGTCGTAGGCGAGGGCGTGGTGGCCCAACCGAAGAAGGCGCTGAGTTTGGACGAGGCCGGGGACTTGGGCAGAGGCTTATTAAGATTATTTTGGTCTAATGACGTTGCTGAGGGCGCGGCGGACGCATCTCTGATGTTGGATCCAAGATTTAGCTGTGGAGGGGGGGACTTGCGTGAGAACATGGACATGGTCTTGGGGTTAGTATTAACGATGGTAGTACGTTTGCCTCCCGGTGACTCGGGCGACTCAGGCGAGTCGGGAATGGAGTACAGATCGTCGAGCTCGTACGGGACAGACCCCTGAGTGGTCAGGCTGGCCGTCTCGGCGCTAAGACTCTCGACCTCGGAAAGGGTGTGGGAGGTCTGAGTAGCTGCAGGGTTGTTTCCCGTAATGTTTCGCAGCTGCGCGTCTCCCGCACCACCGACGGCCGGGACGGCAGCGGGTTCAGCGAAATAATCGGAGAGGGGAGATGATCTGTTCAGCGAGCCCGGTTAGCCCGATATTGCCACCAGTTTACCCGGCGAGTCAGGAACCTACGGCTCGTTGGTGTCTGGACTTGCCGGCCAGTCCAGCACAGTGTTTAGCGAACTTTGCGTGGCCAGCAGGCTCCGCTGATCAGGGAACTCGTAGAGGGTCGGGCTGTCGAGCGAGCACGACCTGGCAAACCTCTGGTCGGGCCGGGGAAGGTCGGCGAGGATGTCGGCATACGCAGCTGAGCCCTTGGAGAAGCGGACGGCAGCGGGCGAGGCGGTCGACGACAACGGCTTCCGCTTGATAGGGCCCGATAAGTGAGCCAGACTAAAAGACCGGCCGCTGCGTGGGCTCGGCAGTGGACGTTTCGGTAGCACGGAGACCAGCTCAGGAAACGCGTCCGTTTGGTCGTGTGTTTCGAAGGAGAGAGGGTGGTGGACCGGGAGCGGTGGCAAGCGAGAGGGCGTGAGATCAGACGAAGCAGTTCGTGTATCAGATGTATCAGAATCGGGAAGAACGGGGATGGTGGCGGGCAATGGAGGCGGCATGTGCATGTCGCCCTCGGGCGACGGTCCAGGTGCGGCCATGAGGTTAGTCGGGGGTGGCATTCATAAGTCCTTTGTCGCACTAACCCCCCATTCGATTGGCTCTGAATCGAGAAATTGATTAACACATTAAGAGCAGCGACGAAATAGCTCGGCAAAGGGGGTGAAAGGGTGGCATCAGGTATGAAAGAAAGGGAGCAAAAAGGAGTGGACGGCCGCCATCTAGCAAAGGTTGGTAACATTAGCGCCGGCGATTTGCCAGGGGAGGGATAGAAGGGTGCCATCCCAGTTCCCTTTTGGGCGAGACTCCCCTCTGGCCCCAGCGCCATCGACAGGGGCAGGGTGCACCATCCCACGCCCTGGATGCACCCCTCGCGCACCGTACCTTGCAGGCGCCCCTGAGTCGCCACATATCGGCCAATCACCGACACGCGCCGCCCTCGATGGGGAATTGGCGATGTTCTGCATCCTGCATCCCGGTGCTCAGATTGGAAGGAAGCAGGCGCCAACCGCAGCCGTCAACCGAATGGCACTCGGACCGGGAATTGAAGAAGACCACCGAAAATGCACACAGTCGCCATGGCTCCTTTGAGCTCCCAGGTTATCTCCACAAACCAAGACCGAGGCGTCGCTTAGCCGCCGCCACCTGCAAACTGCCGTTGATCACGATACATGTGTGCTCGCGCGTGGAATGAAAAAGTGACAGACAGATGTCCAGCAAACCAAAACTCAATTGCTGAAAAAAGGATGCCCAATGGAATGCCGCTTGTGCCCATGGAACCCATGGCGACTTGTCGTCGACCAACAGAGCCTCCAAGTTGCGATCGGCGCTTTTCTTCCGCCAAATGGACGCGGGATGGTGGGCAGGACACTTGCCCGATCCAGAATCTTAAACAGACTGTGTTGATATCCCCAGCTGCCCCTGCAAGTGCTTCCATCACACCCGAGTGGTGGGAACCCCGCGACCCAAGATTTCTGCTCGAGGTGGCTTGCAACAATTGTTCCGATAATAGTCTTCTGTGGTATGCTCAACGTCGTAGTCTAGATCCTCCAATATTCTCATTTTAGTGTCTTCTTTCATTTTCTCGCTTCTAATTAAGAAGGGGGACCACAGGTGCTGATTTGGTGCAGTAGTCGCACAGTCCATTTACGAATCCAACCCGCTAACCGATAGGCTTTGCGGGGAAACTGGGGGTGCAAAAGCTCGAGCCACGACTCTCTGCCGCCAATCCACCTCGTCCAATGCCGACCTCCACGTTCTCTTTCGCAAACCAGTTTTTTCTGCAGGGAAGCGCTCCTCCCGTCAAGTCGAGTTGCGCCCATGGATGATCTGCAGTTTTCCGTCGATGGCGGCAACGACAGCAATGGTGGCAAGATACCTGCTCGGATTTGCATCGATTTTCAATCACAACCTGGATAACGATGATGAAAACTCTGCTTCTAGACCAGAAACCAAACCTGGGACAGCCCAAACCCGGTTCCGGACAAGTCCAGCCCCGTGTTTGATCTTCAAAACAATGTTTCACTTACCCTTACCCTGCCTGTCAACAGCTATTCTCTCCAGCCATGTGGCGACCACCTTCTTTTCGTTGCTTATTCTCCATTCCGGTGGGCTCGGGACAGCGGAGCGGAGCTGCGGAGTTAACAAAAGAAACAGTCTGCACCTTGACGTCAAGCCCGTAAGGTGAGCGAGGTGGATGCCTGTGACCATAGGCTGCGGTGAGTCCCCCGAGTCATGGTCTGACCGACGGGCGCTTGCAGCTTCCCGGGCGGCTATCGAATGAGATATAGAACATCGGACGGCCTGTTTCATTCATGACTTGTTCAACAACGGAAACAGCAGCTCCGGCCTGCAAAATTGCGGATATCTTCACCGCCGAGCCGCCCTTGACAGGTTTTTCAACGCCTCCCGTCCACATACATCCCTGGATTGTGCCTGGATGAGCTCTTAGTCTGCGTCTTCATCCCTATGCGCTGGCCTGTCCAGACGCCCTCCGCTCGATTCGTCATCAGTTATTACGGCGAGTGCATTACATTCCGTTACTTGTATAGCTGTGTCCCTATACCGCAAAGAAGGGAGCGCTAATTTGCGGTGACCCTTGGCATTCTCGTGAGCAGTTGTAGCACCGGGAACCTGGCATGGTATCCGTGTACTTGCTTGGTGTAAACAGGCGATGTTATGGTGTTTTGATGTGACTCTTTTAGTATTCTACGTACTCCGGTGTCATCTGGGCGTGTCGACAGTCTTCCGGGAATATAGTTCCCAGATCCGACGTGGTTTGTCGTTGTCGTTGTCGTTGTCGTTGTCGTTGTCGTTGTCGTTGTCGTTGTCGTTGTCGTTGTCGTTGTCGTTGTCGTTGTCGTTGTCGTTGTCGTTGTCGTTGTCGTTGTCGTTGTCAGTACCATGGTCAAAGTCTCTGTCACGAGTACCTTATCTAAAATAAGAAACATCAGGTAGTACTTGGAGATGGTTGTTGACAACTCACAGGTTACAAAGGTTAGGTCAGATAAGTCCGTTAGACCGCTTGCTCCCATCATACATCACCTCCCCTGTTTCATCTTCCTTGACGATACCTACACTCGCACCCATATCATCCACACCATCCAACTCAGCATCCCCCCATCAACATAACCATTTTCGTTCCCACAAGCCATCTCGAGTACATTACAACAAGAATCGCCCATTCAAGGCACAGAGCCGAATTGAGGATGCACTGTGTCCCCTAAATACCGAGACGAAAACATAAAAAAAGGAAATCCCAAACTCAAACTCCAAGAACCAGGGTATAGCCAACCACCATCCACCACACCCACCACCACCCCAACCCAGCCCAACCCACTCAAACAACCACCCCATCCCCCGCCCCAACCTGCTCCGCACCATGCACCGTATTCCTCCGCCCCCGACGCGGCCGCAACCGCTGCGGCACAAACGCATCCCCACCACCACCACCAGCAACAGCCGCAGCCAACTCACCCAGCCCACCCTCCTCCTCCCCATCCAGCCGGCGCCGCCGCCGGGGCGGTTCCCACAGCAGCGGGGGCAGGGCCGGCGGGGGGAGGGGGAAGGGGTCGTGGTCATTATCATCTCCTCCTGGTATCGCAGCACCAGCAGCACCAGCGGGGGCGGGAGCGAGCAGCAGGCCTGGGTTGAGCTCCTCCCAGGCGTCGAAGAGCGCGTCACGCTCGGTGCAGCCCGGCGCGTGCCGGCAGTAGGGCGCGCCGGTCTGTAGGCGTTGCCAGGGCTGTGTGCAGATGTAGCACCATTCGTGGCGGCAGATGCCTGGGGAGGGGGTTAGTGAGGGGGGGGTTTAGGTTGGGTTGGGGGCGCGGCTCACAGGTGATGTGGTTGCATCCGGCAAACTTGTGGACGTCCCGCTTGCAGCCTGGGCAGGGCTTGCTCGATCCGCGGACTGCCTTCTGCGAGGCCTTCTCGGCTGCCCTGCGGTCCTGGTTGCGCTTGTCGTACTCCTGGCAGGTCTCGTCCCAGTGCCACGGGAGGTTGTGGTGCAGGCAGGACGAGGCCTGGCAGCTGACGCACTCGAACCGCGGGCAGTTCTCCTCGTACATCTGGCCCGATCCGCAGGCTGGGGAGAGGCAGAAGTGGAATGCTGGGTCCTTGGTGAGCGCCGCGCGGGTAACTAGCGTGTCGTATCGGTTGAAGGTCCCCTCGGAGGCGTGCCACTTGACGTCCTGCCAGTCTAGGGCCTCGGGGCAGTCTGGACACTGCAGCCGGTCCCAAGCACCACGCTCGATGCTTGAACGTAGCCACTCTCCGAGGCAGTCTTTGCAGGTGGTCGGCTGGTGGGTGCAACGGGGGGTGTTCTGGGCGGGCATCTCGGCCCGCGGTTTGTCCTCGATGCAAATGCTGCACTGTACCGTTGTCTCCGTCGGCCAAGGGTCGTCGAGCTGAAGGGCTTCGGCGAGGTTATGGGAGAGACGGAGATCGTATGTGGCACCCCATTTTACGGTGGCGGTCCGGGAGTTTTGCAGTGTGCCGTCGAGAAGGAGCTCAACGTCACCTTGGCCTCTCAGTTCGCTCATTTGATATGGGTACTCGCTTTGGAAGACCCTAGTAACGACATAATCTGCAACGAAGCTCAGATGCATCCGCGTCCCAACCTGCACCCTTCTAGGATGGTAAACAAACACCCCTTGTGCGCCACGGAGTACGACATAGCCGCGCTCCGGGGATACGGCAACCGAGAGCCAGCGGCAAAGCCACGTCTTGAGCTTGCTGAGCCCCCAGTGGTCTCCCTGTAATGCTCCAGGGCGAATGCCGTCTCGGACAATCAGAGCGATTCTGTTGGTATCCTGGATACCCATATACTCCGCCACCCTTTGCCTCAGCTCTCCGACAGTCACGCCTGATTCGATGACGGAGTGAATCTCCGCGGCGAAGAGCACGTCGAGAGCCCGATCCTCGCGATCAGCCCAGTCCGAAAACTTCCAATTTGAAAAGTGCTGTTCGGACTTTGATACACTGTACCAAATTTCCTTCTCATCGCGGACGGCTTCGGGACTGAAGTCTAGCTGCCGCCCCTTGGAATCGTAGAAACGAAACAAGCTGAGTGAAGACAGACGTTGGTCCTCTCGTTCGTACCACCTCCGGATCGCGCGTACCAGATACGAGTGACCGGCACCTTTTGGCACCGCCACGGTGAGCTCGCAGTACCGGGGGTCAAGCGGACGCAGGGCAATTCTCACTGCCGGAACAGGCTTGGCCACGGGGGGATGGGAAGGCCGGTAAGTGCCTGAGTCCCGGTGACGGTCTGAAGACGGGCGAGTTGTTGGGCGGTCTTGTTCACCGGCTCCGTTTTGCAGCCGGGCGGTGGCGGCTCGAGCTACCCATGTGAAGATGCTAGGGGACGGCGGCGATGGGCCGCTGTGCCGGCGGGCAACCTGTCGAGTCCGTGTCATGATTTTGTCAACCACAGCTGTTGGTGAGAGGAAAGAAAAAAGTAGAGGAAGAAAGGCTACGGGCTGTCCAGCGCAAGTGTCCCAATTAAATAAGTAGACCCAGACGCTTTGTCCATGGCGCCGGCCAGCAGAAATCCCGGCCAGACAGTGAGATGCCAATGCCAATGCCAGTGTCATGAGACCGAGACTTGCTTGCAGTAGACATGCGCTTGATGATGCATCACAATGCAGCCCACGGGTAGTAGCGAGTCATGGGTAAGCGTCTGGAAACAGGTACGGCCATGTGGAAGAGAAGAACATTAAACAAGTCGTGTTAGTAAAGGTAAGGCCCGTTTCAGGTGATCGGGCCGTGCCAGGTAGAGGTGAGCAAAAGTAGACGAAACGGAAGATTGGAAGCACGGCGGAAGAGAACCAGGTTTCTGACCCAATAGCTGGCCGACACTAGAGGTGGCCCCTTGTGCTGGCGTGGACCATACCGCGTCCGCCAACAATAACTTGCCAACGCCGATCAACCAACAAATCCCAGCAGCCCGTCGGCAACTGCGTGTCAAAGGTCCACGCAGCTGGATGTCGGTGGGGGTCGGTGTCGAGGTGGTCGTCCTATTTGCAGATACTACTATTGGGCACTCATTCTGGGGTAAAAGTATGCAGACCATGATGGTGAGGAGCGTGGCGAATACTTACGGAGGTAACACTGGAAATCGAATGAAGGAAATGTGGGAGAAAAAGGGGCGTTCACCAAACTGACCGGAGATCACCTTGTCCAAACAGCAATTAATATGTTGGACTTTTCGGGTACGTACGTACCTCCTACCTCACAAGGGTCGGTTAGTCCACCAAGGGGGCAGAGGGGGTGTGTCCTCTGGCCTTGTATACATCCACTTCTCCTCCTGAGCCGTATCCACAAAAACAAGCCTCCCACCGGGCCGGACCGCCCCCCTGAACGTCTTGAACACATTGATATCGGTTCCGGACCCAAGGGTCCTCCACAACCGGAATTCGGGATCCTTCTCCCCCATCACCACTTCCTCCATCGTGACCGGGTCAAACCCAGGGTAAAAGCGCCACGACCGCAACCCCGCAATAACCAACAGCTTCAAAGGCTTCTTACTCAGCCGCGTCGCGATATCCGCCACGTCTTTGTCGACCAGCGTCCTCGGAAACGTGCTATACCCCCTCAGATCCAGAAACAGCGACTCCAGCCGCTCCATCTTATCCCAGCGCACCCACAAGTGCGCGGCGCGCTCATAATCCAGTGTCTGTTGCAAACACTCCTTCATCTTTTCCACCCACGGGTCTAGGCGCGCCGCCGTCCAGATACCATCCGCGATATGCCCCACATCCGCCCTAGTCAGCGACGGCTCGCCGCGCACGACCAGATGCCGAATCCGCTTGAACAGAAAATCCTCCTCATCCGCCGAGAACGGCAGCACGTCCTTCTCGGTGTGGTCGGTGGCGCGCAGCCGTTTGGTGCGGGCTGTATCCCCGCCCTCTCCCTTCCCCTCCCCTTCACCTTACACTACCGTTCTCTCTCTTCTCTTCCCCCTTCAACAATCGCTCTCCCTCTCCGGCCCCCAGGATCGGCTCGACGACGAGAATATCATCAT